GCTGCATTTTAAACAATCAATTCAATTAAAATTTCACTACATCTCAGACTGGTCTCCTGTATGATGATTTAGATTGTTTTCTATCCAATCAAATCTTTATTTTATCATCCAACAATGTTCAGAAACAAAATTTATGATTTTAAAGGGGAAGCAACAAAACATCCTCAAAGTGTTTAAATGCCTGTTTACAGGCTACCAGCTGTGTGACAACAGTGTAGGTGTTCTGTTCAACGATTACACTCGTCTCATCATGTACGCGGATGGAGACAGCCTGCAATACATCGACAAGACGGCTGCCGAGTCCTACATGAGCGTCCGTTCGTTCCCCACTACGCTCAACAAGAAGGTCAGTATTCACCCCCCTCAGCTCCTGGTTGAGCTCACTTTCTGCTCTAAACAATTGTCTAACAGTCTTTAGGAAAGCTTAAAGGCTGTCTTTACTATTGGATAAATTTGTCTTTTTTTTTTTTTTTCCAGATAACTTTGCTTAAGTACTTCCGTAACTACATGAGCGAGCACCTGCTGAAGGCTGGCGCCAACGTGGCGCGGCGGGAAGGGGACGAGCTGGCTCGACTACCGTACCTCTCCTTGTGGTTTAGAACAAAGAGCGCCATCGTCCTGCATCTCAGCAACGGCACGGTTCAGATCAACTTCTTCCAGGTTTGACTCCACCCACATCGTTCCCTCTCCTGCTATCCATCCTCAGCCTCACCACGCTCCATGCTCAAGCCATTATCTGTCTCTGTTTTTTGGGGATGGGCTTTAGGACCACACTAAACTGATCCTCTGCCCACTGATGGCTGCTGTGACCTACATCGATGAGAAGCGAGACTTCCGCACCTACAAGCTGTCTCTGCTGGAGGAGTTCGGCTGCTGCAGGGAGCTGGCCAGCCGCATGCGCTACGCCAAGCTCATGGTGGAGAAACTGCTGGACAGCAAGTCCTCCTCTGCTGCACATTAGATGAGGTTTTTCTCCAATCAGTCTGTCAATCTCTCAATGCTTAATTCTTTCTTCTTTTTTTTTTTTTTTTTTTAACTATCAAGGCAGGCGGTGCTACTTCTCTTCTTAAAATGACCCATACCATGAAATCCCTTTCATATGCCGAAACATAATCTCCTTTAAATATTTCTGCTGTGTGATAGTTGCTTTCACTCTTGCCTTGACTTTGCTGATAAAGCCTTTAAACAACCACAGCTGCTGTACTGGAATCAGCGCTGTGGACAATCTTGTTCCAAGTTGTGGAAGTAAAGGTGAAAACTTATGTTCAAATACCTGATTTCTACTTGTGCACTGTTGTCTTTCATGGAACGCTACAGAGGTGGGAAATGTGTTGGACTCAGGTGGATTTAAAAAAAAAAAAAAAAAAAAGATATTCTGGTCTGCTTCTCGTTTCAATTTGTTTTCTGTGTCAAGGATTAGACCATGTTAATATGTCGTCATCATGTACATTCTTCCTGTTTTGTCTTATTTTTAAGTTCTAGATGTGAGTCGTCAACTAGATAACATTGTACATAATGCTGAGTATGCATACATATTTTAGAGATGGTATACCGCTGGCCAAGTTTAAATAAAGATTCTTCTCAAATGGTCATTCTTCTGAGTTTTAAATGCAAGTTTTGGTATGTGAACAGTCCCGGTGTGTTTTAAATGTATACATTAAAATCAACTGTTCCTTCTCAGAGGGAAATTTCGCACAAATTGGGAAATCAGTCTCATGAGGAGGATGATCGGCATTCATCATTTTCTTGAGTTTCTGACTAATCCTTTGCTTTGTTATCTCCAGAGGTTCCCAGTACAGAACCAGACATCTTTATCAGGGTATTACTTGTTAAATCTGACTTTAAATCTTTTTAAAATTGGGCAACCATTGCTATCTGCATTGTTTTATGATTTTGACAAATTGGAACATTTTCCACATGAGAATTATTTCACATTTCAATCCTGAAATCTTGCATGTATGAGTTGGAAAACAGGTACAAAACCTAAATTTCTGCACATTGACTTGTATTTATGAATTTAAGTGTCTACAAATGTGTTTTTAATTGACAGTAATCTTACCCAATTCATAACTCCTTGGGTTTCCTTAGCAACTAAAACAAACAAGTCCTGGACAGGTTTTGACATCATCATGATGAGAACCTCTTTGTTCTCATCAATGATCTCATAAATGTTCACAGAGTTACAAGAATTCTCAGTTTGCTTCTCAACTTGGTTGGAGACAGATCGATTCCTGAGAGACGACTTCAAACTGATTCTACAAACCATTTTAGCTGAACATCAAGTCAAGAGGATTTTGATATTTATGGATCCTTGGATTTCTTGTTACGAAGGGAGTTGAAAAGTTGTTAGGATATAACATAAGAGGCAACGATGGTTTAGTAGAGAACTCTGAGGACGAGAGATCAAAATACTTTGCTTTTGACACTGAAGACAAAAAGGACATGGAAGATTCCTCTAAGGATGAGAAAGTTACTGTCAAAACCTCAACTACGGATTTGACAGTAAAGGCATCAGAAGACTGCTGCTTTTGAAAGTGAACAGTGAAACATCAATGTGAAATGTCAATGTTCCTCATGACCAAATGAACCTGGATGTGTTTGTTTGCTCACAGGTTGAGAGAGTCACCTTTACAATAACAGCTAACTCCTTACCAACAAAGATATTACAAAAAAGTGTATTGTTGTTGGGAAGACATGATGATGGACCTGGATGTGAAACCAAACTGTAACAAGGAAACTGACACATCTTGAAGAAATTTCTGAGGATTCATCATCAGAAGAATCCTCTTCAGCAGAAGAAAACTCACAAGATGAAATTCAAAATGACACAGATGATTTCAACGATGTGGATGTTAATCTTGAGCCAAACATGTACTTATGCAAATTTTCCAACTCATTCTTCAACTGTTGCATGAATGCCAAGGAAAACGGACACCACTGGAGTCATGGAGAAAGAAGGAGACCATCTCTGGTTCAGCAAGTTTGATCATGATGAGTTTCATTTTATCTGTGCTGTAAACTAAGAGCTGTGACTTCGTTTGTGAGCTATGATAACCTTCATCAGGTGAAAACTTAACGTCTTGTCTAGTATTGCTTTGCTCATAAATTGGAACATTTAAAACTTTTCTTTTTCTTGTGTATTATTGATGTTTGCTGAAATTTCTGACATATTTGTGAGATGTGTAAATTTGACTCATAACTTTAAATGTTTAATAAGAATTTTTTGTATGTTAATGCAAATTACAATTTTTGTTTCTTCTATAGTATGTCCAATTTTATCAGTGTTTGAAATATGTTGCAGGGGCTGAGAGTTGTGTACTCCCTCAATTTTGAGGACATTGCATTTGATCCACTGTTGTTGTGGTTTAATGGATAATTGTGTGCCTGTGTCTTCCATTGTGTGCCTTATTTGTTTAGGTTGTCACAGCTTCTTACTTGCTGATGCAAGTAAGCTTGTTAGTCTGTGTATCTGCTTCATCCTGGCACTTCTGGAAAAGCTTACCAGAATCCTGCCTGGTCACCTGGACTTCCAGCTGCCTCCCAGACAGACGACTGGAGTCCTGCAGGGGACGGTGTTGTCACCCATCCTCTTCAACCTGTACACCTCAGACTTGTGTTACAACTCTGAAACGTGTAGAACGCTGATGACACTGTCATTATGGGATGTTTAAAAGACAACAAAGAGGAGTATAGGGCCTGATGAGGAACTCTGTCGTGTGATGTCATAGAAATGGCCTGCAGGTTAAACATTTCCAAGACAAAGGAATTGGTTTTTGATTCAGGAGGGACAGGTGGTCCAAGATCAGTTCTGGTAGGGAAGTCTCCACTTCCCACTTCTAGAAATATCTTGGCCAGACAGTGTTTGTCTGTCTATTTCTGCACTGTCATTCTTCTCAAGCCCCATTTCTGCTATTTCCATGGCAACCTGGAGTGCAGAAAATGAAGAAAGACGCATGGCCATTGGTACAAATTAAGTTTAGCTCAAAGATCGCAGGTTTTATTTCCTCCATGGAAGCTGATAGATGCGTTTTCTCTCCAGCTACTCAAAGAAAGTGGAGTAGGTTACCTCTCTCGAATCTCAAGAGGGCATAGAATATATGTAGGCCTTTTAATTATACTCCCAACCACACTGTTAGCAAAATCATGACTGACAAACAGCCTGTATTAATATAGTGTTTTATCAAGTCTATTGAACCCAAAAGAGCTTCACACTACATTCACTCATTCACACATAGACATGGTAAGCTACTGGATAACAACCCCTGGGCAATTTGGTTCACTTATTTTCAAATAGTAATGAGTGTATTTAACTATTTGATTTAAACTTCATTACTCTAAGACTTTCTACAGATTGTCCTGTCCGCATTGTTTGTTTTAAATATAGGCCACAGCTAGAAAATAATCCAGAATAAGTTTGACTGTGTCAGAGAAAACTTTATTGAAGTTCCATTTGGCTCAGTAGAGTGGAAAAGCATGAATGACAAAGATGTAAATACTCCATCAAAGGCACAGCAACAAGACGCCAGGAGCAGCAGCGCCTTGTTTAGCTCTGATGATAAAATATCATGTGCTTATGATTTATTTTAAGTATTATTGCAGTAATTATTACACAGTTCAGGATAAGTAATTTATGTGCATCCATGTATGTGCTTTAAAAGGTTCTATTCAACCACCTGTGCTTTTAGCAGAATTAGATATAGAACACTTAGAAAGTGTGTAGAGCTTTTTGTACATGAGCAAACCCTGGATTCACCATCCATATTCTCTTCCAACGTTTCCATGGTTTCATGTTCTGAAGCATTGTAGACGACAGAGGAAGCCTTATTTACAGCCAACAAAATGCAAATCATTAACACTGTGTTATCTGGTTGCCTTGAATGAATGCTCTTCAGAAAGAAATGAGAGCAGAGAACCTTACCAGGAAGTCTTTGTAGCAGCAGAAAGATTAATATGCAGGGTTTAGAGTTATAGTATTCAACATGTCACCAGGAGTCATCACAGATAGTGAAAGTCATTCAGCTTTATGAGTGGCGACACATTCAGGACAACAACAAGTCACTGGAAATCTCCAGTAGAAATACAGAAAGAGCAGTCAATTATTAGAAAACAAAATCCTGCTGCAGTGACATTCAACTTTCACAAATCAGCCATCAAAACACGTTTACAACTGCACACACACAGGAGTATGAAAAAGAATCTGCAGACTGAGTTTCAATAGTTTGAAGCATCGTGCAGATAAAGAACAAGGAAAAGTCGTTTCTCAGTATTCCCAGAGGGTGGCGCTGTCCACAGAGTCTGCGCTGGCCTTCAGCCCTCCGGCATGGTCACCTCTAAGGTACTTCCCGCCCAGAGCCCGAATTCCCATCTTGTTGAGATCACAGAACTCAAGCAGGAACTGGACAGGAGTGGAGCTGCTGCACACCACTGCTGAGTCGTCTCCAACACACCAATACTTTCCCTGGGAGTCTGGACAGACAACAGGACTAATGAAGCCCAGAGCTCAGACTGTGATGAATACATACGGACAACATGGAATGCTTTGCTTTAAATCCAGATGATACATCAATCTTGATCGTTGATATTTGATTACCATCAACCTGTCCATGATCTGCAGGTGGAAGTTAGTATTTTTGCTGCAGCACATCTCTCCTTTTAAAAAGTTAATGAAATGTAAATTGTTTCTGTGCAAATAAATAAACATTAAACATTCGATCAATTTTATTTATACCATCAGGTAGATTTAGTAATTTAGCTATTAAATCCACAAAACATTAGAGAACAATGGGAAAACTAAAGTCCAAGTGCAACTAAGGCATTTACAGCAAAACTGTCTGAAAAATGGACACAATCTCAAATTTCTTCCGTTTATTAAGAAAAGCTAGATGCAAGTTTTTTGGGCAATGGGACATATTATGTTTAGCTCAAAGAATGCCTGTTCTTTTTGGTGTTTTTTTTTCCCATCCTCCATAGAAACTGATAGCGGAGTTTCATCTGCTGATGCCTAAAGAAAGTGGAGCAGGTTATCTCTCTTTCCTTTCCCTGCCCAAAGATCTGCTCACGGGAATCTCAACGGAGAATAGAATGTAGGCTCTAACTTTCCTCTGGCAGTCTGGTCAAATAACACTTATTCTTTTAATAACAAAAAAAAAAACACCCAAAAATGTAAGTCACATCATTAGCTAATAAGTACTTTCAATTGTGTTTGTAAATACAAGCTAACAACTTGTTATTATGATCTATCTTATAATAACAAATATAAAATAGATTATATTTGTTATTCATTTATAACAAATATAAAATAGATTATATTTGTTATTATAAAATAACAAATATTTTATAATTTGTTATTTTACAAAATAAGTTATTTTGTAAAATTTACTTTTACTCAATATGAATATGGAGGATTCAACATGTCTGAATACAACAATCAAAGATCACCAGATAATAAAATTACAAGCTTCAGATTAAGAGAAAAATTACGATGCTTTAAAAACTGAAAACCTGAAGACCCTTAAAGTCTATTTTAGTATTACATTTTAATCTTTTTCTTTTTACCGTCTTCTATCGGTCAATTGGTGAGAAATCATCCATCTTGAAGGGGTGACATCACAACTGCCCTTTCTATTATTCTTCAAAAGGATTATCAACAGTAAAATGTACTTTTCTAACACAGAGAAAGGACGCAGTGAGCACTGTTCAGCAGTTGAGATTCATTAAAGTGAAAGTGATGGACGTCTCATCATCTCCCACCAAAAACAATGGAGACAGAAGACACACAGAGAAGACAGAAGACACACAGAGAAGACAGATAGCTCAAGAGGAGTCACAGGTATTACATGTGTATTTTGTGAGTGTTAAGATTTACTGATAAGAAAATATTTTGTTTTGCCATATATTTAGTCATCTTCTGTGATGCTAGCACTCATATTTTTCATCTATGAATTAAATATCAATTCCTGCTTTCCCCTGACCTTTTCCTTGCACATTACCAACACTTCTAGCCACCGTGTCGAAAGGCGCTTTTCTACTGGCAGCTCTTACTCTAACCGGTTAATGTGTGAAAAGAAATGTTTTGTGATTGTATGTGGAAATGTGACAGATTTTGCAAAGCTTGAGGTGAACTTGAAACATAAATTTACAAACGTTATTTACATTCTTTACAAACAATATATATATATATTTTTACCCTCTAAAATATTTTTTTGCGCGTGTTTTTTTTATATTTCACATGGGAAAAATGTGCAATATATAATATTTGTTAAATTTGCTTGAATGTTGCCTACTTCAACTTACCCTTGAGGGAATAAGCACCGTTATGAAACTCCAATTGGAAAACATCGTAGGAGGCCCGGTTGGAGTCGAGGGTTGGAAGTCCAGCTTTGCGAGCTCCAATGAAACCATGTTCTCCACGCAGGACAATGATTGGACGGTTAATCAGCTTCATCAGGAACTGCTCAGCCTCCCCTGAAATGACAATTTACTGGGATATGAAATAGACTATTACCTTTAATCATAACTGTTTATTGTGATTAAATTCATTGCTTAAAATTACTATCAGTTTTATAGTTTCTATAACTTTGTAAGGATTTGAGTTTTTCTGTGTGTTTATTTAGGATTCTGTCAGTTGAGTTTCCATGTTGTCCATTCTGCCTTCGATTGATCCCAGCTGTGTCTGGTTCCCCTGATTGCCCCCCTGTGTATTTAAACCCACCTGTGTCTCCTTGTCTGTCAGGTCTTTCTCTATTCTATCTTGTTATTACATCTATTGCCATTGCCTGTTCAAAGCCACAGCTGTTTGCTCACCTGTGCTGCCTGGACTTTGTTTCGGCATTAAAATAATCGTTTCTCAACAATCTGGGTTCACTGCATCTGTCCTCACCTTCTACAACCTGCAACTCATGACAGACATTTTGAAACAGTGCTCTAAATAGTTGTTGGTTGTGTCAGATCTTCATATTTGTAGACATGATCTACTTATCTAAGGAGTCAGAACTTGAATCTAATGATGTCACAATTGTGTTCAAACTGCAAGACTAATGGGAATTTCTAAATTCTTTAATGACCAGGCTATCTACAATTAGCCAACAATGTATTTCTCTTGTATGTAATTACTCCCAGTTAGGAGTTACTGACACAAACAATTGGGAAATATTTACTTTCCCAATCTACAGATGGAACTTTAAGTTCAGGTTGACTTTATCAACAGATGCTAGTTCCCGTCTCAGACAGCAGGTTACAGTTAATTTATATGACATGGAGCCAGAAATTCCTACATCTGAAAAGAAAGCTAATATTAGAGTACTTTTACAATCTGCAACCTTGTCTTGACTTCACTTTCATGTATTTCAAAAATATCAGCAACAATCCGGACCTATACTGTCCACTGCAGCAGCCAGTTGCCCGTTCTTCTTGGCAGTCACATACTTCCCGTTGTCTGCACGAATGCACACGCGACCCTCACGCCACTCCAGTTCAAAGTAACTGTTAGCAGATCTGAAAACAAATACAAAGACAAACCTTGTTATCTACATTTTTCTAAGAATGAGAACAGGACTTCCCAGTAGGAGGATGATTACTTGGAGGAAGCCGTGCACTGCAGTCCTCCAGTTGCTGTCAGGGACCAGTATTTCCCAGCAGCAGTTCTAAAGGCACACTTCCTATCTTCACGGTTCATCTCCAGTTGGAACACTTCTTGGTCCCCTTCCTCATTCTGATTGGCTGACAGGTCCATGCCTGAAAAATAAGGTAATCTGTGATCAGCTTTCATTCAGCTCTGGGGGATTAAGGTTTTCCAAAGCTGCACCGTGTTTCATCAAATTTCAGACAGCAAAAGGAAGAAGTCAGTAATAACTTGAGTAACTTTTTACTTGAGTAACTTTTCAGAGGAAAAGAAAAAAATCTACTTTTACTCAAGTAAGATTTTTACTCTTATGTGACCAGAATTTCTGGACACGCTGTGTGAGCAACTTCACTGAATAGAGAACAAGCATATTTTAACCAAAAATGCCACAAAATCTTTGTAGCCTTCAGAATACCAGAATTTGGACAGAAATTAATAGTTTTCTCTGTCTGATGACATCAATGTGAAATATTAAATTGGGTGTTATGATAAGCCTTTTGATAAAATATTGTGAAATGAAATTAAAATTGGATGAAAAGTTATTTTAAAAAAGTATTTATCTGAGAGTATAAACACATGCAACTAGGTAATTTTTTTTTCGTTTCTCAACAGATTTGTTTATTTTCAGTTAACGTTTTAGAAGATTTCCAAACACATTCAATAAATTAAAATGCTCATTCCAATGAGTTGTCAGATTGAAAGCACATTTTTGAAATAACCATTAATGATGTATTAAATATTAAGCTCATATGTTAAAATGTGTTGTAAAGGTCTGATATGATATTCTAAATCCTACATGTTTTTTAATAGCTGTACTCTGATAATTATTACAGAAATAAAGACGTGAAACATCAGATATGTGTAGACAACATATTTCATCCAGTCATTTGAGCTACTGAAATAACTGAACTTTAATAATATTCTAATCCATGGAAAGTGGCTGAGTACAGGTTGGAATAAAAAAAAATTAGTTGTCATTTTCCGATTATGAATAAATCTAGAATTTGAAAAAAGGTAGTATATGCACATTTTTGACTTCCCCTTGTTCCTGGCTTCAAGATTTATTGGTCTAAGTTCAAAGTCTGGCTGAGATCTTCTGTTTTCTTACATTTACATGACAGAAGAAAAAACTGGGAGAGAGGAGCTGAAATGTACTTTTGGTCTCTATATTTTATATTTCACCATGTGTCTGTTTGGGGTAAATGCTGTATACAGGCACAACCTTGGCCTGTATACTGCATTCTAAATCCCAGCGTTAGCAGCAGATGCCATCTGAGGCCGAGTGGGAACAAGAAAAAGAGGTTGCATGAGATGTAAGACAGTCTGAGTCATCCAGTTCTTAGCCTCTTTTCTCTTCATCTCCTTCAACTCGTCCTTTCTTTGTTTCTAAAAATATCTTTTCTAATTTTGAATCTCCTCTTAGTGTATCTCAAATAACAGATGACAAAGGCTGAGAGAACCTCAGCTGACCTGGCCCCAACAACCACAATGCAGAGATAGAATTACTGCAGAAAAATGTTAAACTGTGCAGAGATGGGAGCCAAATGCACTAAGTGAGAGCATGTAATGAAAAACACATGGTGGAGAGAAAATGATTTTTTTTTCTTTTTTGTTTTTTACTTTGTTGTACACAACCTCCACTGCTCCTTGAGTCCAGCTATGCAGGGACTTCATGGCAGAGGGGTCTCTAGAATATCTTACATGGGGGTCTTGATGGAGCCATGAATAATTTAGTGGTGGCACACCAAGGAAAAAGCAAAGTCATGTCACATTTCAGGAGTTTATTAGGAGACTTATATTAGCTCTCCAGACTTTGAACAGTTTTTTAAGGAGTGATGGAGCAAAATTGCTGTGTAAATCTACAACCCTTCAACCTTCCAGACCTCTCAGGGTTCTGGTTCTGGTTTTGCTCTGAATCCCCAGAACCAGAACCAAACAAGGAGAAGCAGCATTCAGCTTCTATGCACCACAAATCTGGAACAAACTTCCAGAAAACTGTAAAACAGCTGAAACACTGACTTCCTAAAATCCCGCCTGTTTAGAGTTGTATTTGAAGCCTCAAAATCTATTTAACAATGGCATTTGACTTAATGTAATGTTTTGATTGTTGATTCCATGTTGAATGATTTTGTGTTTTTGTGTTCGTTATAATGTAAAGCACTTTGAAACGCCTTGCTGCTGAAATGTGCTATACAAATAAAATGTGACTGATTGACTGAACCCTGATGGAGATCTATCCAGAGCTATTCAATCTTAGGTAAATCTATTAAATACTAACTTGAAGGAGTGATTATTTCTGCAACTCATATTTTATTAAAAATATTTGTAGTTAATTGTCATTATCTCACCAATACCAGTTTTCACTCTGACACTAAAAGATTTCCTGTAAACTTTTACTTAAAAAGAAGCGATTTTTACGATGGGGATTGAATAGTAAAGCAATAAAAATGACAAGATCCAAGGTGTGAATACTTTTTATAAGCACTGTGTATGTTTACAGTATAGGCTTTATCTAAATAATCTAATTGTCAGATCATTAGTGACGTCATTGTGATGTCATCACCTTGTCTACACTTTAAACCACTGAGACTACAGTATATTGTCCCCTGAAAGCAAACTTTGTGGACATTTGTTTTTGTGTTTCAGTGGTTGAATCACAGCTGCATTTAGTCCTGGCATTGTTACAATAATGTTTTATGTCATTTTTGATGTCTGTAAATGAAAAACACTTATAGGAAGAATGCCATATATTGAATAGAGATATTAAAATCAGAGTAATTTAGGAAAAACCCATTTCAAAACAGACAAGGTCTAAAAATAATACATGGAGAAACTGAATCAGACAGTTTTCATTTCTAACAGTCCTGATCAGTGGTCAGGTCAGACAAACAAATATCTGACCTCAATCTAAGCAGAAGGTCACGCAAAACAACAGCACTCTACACAGTGGTATTTCAGGGCAAAAAAAAAAAAAAAAGTTAACTACTTGAGTGTTATAGAAGCATTTAAAAAAGTCAGAGAAAGCACAGAAGTAAAAGCAAGAGTTAATGTATAATGGCTGTTTTTTTTCCTTTGTTATTCTGTGTTTTTGAGTTTTGACTGTTAACAATCAAATACATCTTAGGCGCAGTCATTTTGTACCTACCTTCAGATGTTTTGTCAAACTGACCAATGACTGAATTCATCAGATTCCAAGAAGGATGAACATATCCTGCAATGTCAGCATTTATTGTCACATTCTCTATAATAGTAGCTATAGATTGTTAAAAGAAATGATGATCGCTTTGTTGACTGCAGGTTGGAATATATGGAGATGTTTCATTGTGTGGCTGTTTTATCCATCCATCCATCCATCCATCCATCCATCCATCCATCCATCCATCCATCCATCCATCCATCCATCCATCCATCCATCCATCCATCCATCCATCCATCCCAGGTGACTTTAAATTACTTAAAACTTGATTGAGGTTTTTAAAAGCAGAGTAGCAAAATAAGCTAAAATTGGCACCGACAGGTCAGAGCTTTACTAATATCAAAAACTGGCCTCAAAACCTTTGTGCAGAACTTAAACTCTATTATCACTTGAACGCATAGGAAATAAAACTCTTGTTGGGTCTCAACCTGTCTAACCCCCCAGAGGGTCCAGATCTTTCTGCAGGACTCATGAATAGCAGAGAGTCTGACCAGTGCCCACATAAAGAGACGTGGATCGGATCAAATTTGCAGGGAGTGGCGTGGCGGCACTCCTACCTTGTCTGGTTGAGTTTTATTTTATTTCGGTCTTTTGTTGCTTTTCTCAAGCTGCAGTCTCACCTTGCCTCGTAGAGACATTCTTCTCGTTGCCCGCAGTCAGCACCACCTGAGCGTGGCTGCGCTCCAGGCCAAACAGCTCATCTTTTCCCACCCGGCCACTCCTCCCACTCTTCATTGTCCCCGTGGGGCCCACCGGTGCCAGGTAGCGGCCGTTGCAGTCTCGGAATGCCACTTTCCCTGAGAGGAATTCCAGCATGTAGCCGGTGTCCTTGTCCGTTTTTGCGGACAGGGTGCCGTCGTTGCGCAGAAACCGGTTGTCAGAGGTCTCCAGGTGGTAGCGCTCATCTCTGTAGACGAGCGTCACCAGAGAGTCGACGCCCCAGGGGACGTCCCGGTCTATGGACACCTCCTGGGCGCTCAGGTGGGCGAAGCGTTTCCGCGCAAAGCTGTAAAGGTTCACCTGCGGATGCACGGCCAGGTGAACGCTCCATTTCTCAGCCGGGGAAGCTGCCTGCGCGAAGCAGGTGATCCGGTCCTCGCTGCCTCCCAGAAAGCGGCCGTAGGGCTCAGACTGCAGCGACCACCGCCCGTCGTCGTGCGCTGTGATGACGAAGCGGCAGTCTCGGCCGCGTGTCTCGCTGTCCGCGGTAACGTTGCCGTCTTTGTCCGCGCCAAGGTAGCGGCCCAGGTGGGACTTGAGGAAGACGGCGCTGCCGTCCTCCCCGGTCTGCTCCAAAGTCCAGGTCTGCTTCTTCTTCAGGCTGCTGGCCGACGCGTTGATCTTGAAACCGAAGGTCTCCGCTGTCAGATACTTGCCTGCGCTGTTGATGAGCCCCAGAGGAATCTGCAGCAAGTCCCCGTCTGCGCCGTTTGAGGACATGATGATGGAGACACGAGAAGAAATGCAAGTAAAGGGCAGACAGAGAAAAGATTTGCTCTGACAGAAGAGGGTGATGATGATGACGATGACAAAGAATATCGAGACACTGCAAATTCTCACTGCTTTGGTGGAGCTGCAGGACTGAGGATGGATGCAATATTCTGCACACGCCCCTTACAGACAGGAGCCGAAGAGAGAGAGAGATGCAGTCCTGACAAACCACCGCACCAAGAGAAGTTACACCCCAACGTAACACCCCCATGTTCATCCATCCCTTTACTTCCCCATGAGGTATTATGAGCATTAAAATCTACACATTAAATTCTTCTTCCATTTCCCTCCTGACTAAGGTTTTCCCTACTTAATCTTTGACAAGAGTTATAAAAATTAATTATATTAAATTTAGTTGTACTAATTCATACTCAAACACTGATAACTCCCAAATCTTTATTTATATGAGAAACTTTATAACTAATATCCTGTTGAGCAAATATGATAACTCCTCTTCTAACCATGGATTTCTGTCTTTGCATATTTCTTTATATCCATTAATATAAAATTAAGTGATGGTTTTAAAGGTCTTTTGGACTCACACTGTATTTGGTTTTAGCATAAGATCTTCTTGCGTTCCATTGTAATATGGATAAAACCATCAGAACAAAGCAAATCTTCCCCTGTTGTTAAACTGATTGATTCACATGACAGTTCCTCCATCTCAAGAAAATTTACTGCTGCTTTTATTATAATTTTAATCCTCTTTGTTCTACTATTTGCCTGTGTTGAACAAATTATTACTTCCACAACAAATCCAACAAACTTATTCGCCGCAATCTTTGTGCTTTCTAAAATTCTCTAACTCAGCTATTGTGCTATTGTTTGAAATGGAGTTTGGGGCAAAGAAATGTTTTTAGCAATTGTTCTTAAATTGCTCACCTTTTTAAATGCACCTGCATATGTAATTTGTTTCTTTCACAAATACATTTTGCACCTGCACTCATCTTTGCGCATCAGATCCTTATGGACATTCGTCTCCCAGTGATGACATAGTTACTTTGAAAAAGTCACTTTAATTGGATTACTGATTACTCCTTGAAAAAGTAACTTAGATTACTGATTACTTGATTTGGAAAGTAACTAAGTTACATTAAAAGTAACTTTTTCAAGTTACTTTTAATGTTGTTTGCAGATGCAAACAACAACAACAACGCTCCACCAGCTGTGAAAATCACACTGATCTTTGCCAAAACTTAATTGCAAGTTATTTTATAATGATTACATCAACAATGTGTCTCCACTTATATTGTTGAACTGAAAGGAAGATTGTTTAATGGTCACAGCAGTACAAAAAAAAACTTTAGTAATTTCTGCATGTTTTTCTGTGTTCCAGATTTTATAGCCTCCCTCCATGCCCCAGCGTCCAGGCTCTGTGTTACGGCCCTGCGTCTGCTGTCAGAGCGCAGCGCACAACGCTCCTTATTATTAATAATAATTTAGGGACAAGTGTGTAAGAAAATGGATGGATGGATGGATGGATGGATGGATGGATGGATGGATGGATGGATGGATGGATGGATGGATGGATGGATGGATGGATGGATAATTTAGTAATAATAATAATACAATTTATTATTATTATTATTATTATTGGTCTGTTCGGTAGATCTATATATCTGCTTGCAGATTCAGTATATGAATGTCTTTTTATATACTGAAAAACAGATTCCAAATAAATTAACCATTTGTTTTTGTTAAAAATCTAAAATTTGATTACAATATGAAATAAGAATGTCTGCTTTCAAAACAGAACAAATACATAAAATCAAGGAAGTATAACATTGAATGCAAAGGGATTTATCATATAAAACATTCCTATTTGGCAAGTTATGTTTATCTATTGGGCTGCAGATGATCATAAATTCAGAGCCGTTTAGGAGCCGAAAGAGTCGGCTCTTCTTTGGGAGGCGAGCCACAGTAACCGGCTCTATGAGAAGAACCGAAATTCCCATCACTACACCGCTTGTATCGGCACGTATTTTACTATAATCGCTATTCATGCTGCAGTGATCTCAATCAAATAATTCTTCCATCTCACTTTTTAGTTTGATTGAATATATGAATATATAATGAAATCTGAATCACTTCTCTGTCACATAACTTTAACTAAAGTTATGTAACTTTGGTTAAAGTTAAACCTAAACGAGTTAAACCTAAACGATTCCCCGCTCCCACATCCTTTAACCAAAGTTATGTAACTTTGGTTAAAGTTACATAACTTTGTATCTAGCTAGTTTGTATCACAATCAGCTGTGTCCCTCCACCCACAATCGACCCGCCTGCCCAATCATATCCTTAAGGAAATATGAACTTTTGTCTTTGCCAGGTAAATTGAATACCTATTGTCGAAGAATTCACAGGACTCAGTAGAAAACCTTCAGTCAATTGTTTGTTCAAAATATGTTATTTCATTGACTTGGTAATGCTTTTAATTTGAAAATGCTTTTGGATAACTTCCGGTAGTGCTCTGGCTCCCTAGCTAGCTTAACTGAGAAATAGCAACCGTGTTGCTACTCCGCTGAGAAAACACAAACAAGTCGGCGGCGCTTCCACGAATATGAACGAATGCACGTATTATTCCCGGAGAAGATTCTTTTTATTTTCTTGAAATAAATTTTAAGATGTAGTACAACGAGCATGTTAGCTGAGCTCTCGTTATTGACTACTAATAGCCAGAGGACCCAGCTAAGTAAAATACTTTTGACTGAAAAAGGATGGACATCTTACGAGAAGCAAGAGTTTTGATGCTTACTTGACCTCAGTTTACCAGTTATGTTCAGTGCAACTCACAAAATGTCTTTGGAGGAGAGTGATGTCCCGACTGATGAGGATTGTGAAGAGCTGGTGAGTCTTTACAACAAAACCCACAACTGTTATCTGTACATTTTAATCTTATGGTTAAACCGCGTTGTGAGATTTTTCTGTAAACTCCATCAAACTCCGTGTAGATCCAGCCTGACACCTTCCATGCTTGGCTTTTCTATTAGTTAGAATATTTTATTATAAATTCCTATTTGGTCGGCATAATCGAGCCATAAACAAACGTCGACGTGCCCATACTTACTTACTATTAGACAGATTACTATTTTATAATTTAGAAATTATAAAATAGTAATCTAGCTACTATTTTATAATTTAGAAATTATAAAATAGTAATCTGTCTAATAGAACGCAGCAAACCTTGTATTAGACATGTTTCCTAAAATGTCCTCTAAATATCTTAAAACACATTTACAGTCTGAAAAATACAAGTGTTAAATTACTTAAGCCTCGTGTTTTAAGGCTTGAAACAACCTGAAATGTTGTTAAAAATAATAATATATATATTACTATTTATTTAGCCTTGTTCTATTTTTTGTAGGTGGAGGAAGGTTTCCCTCTCCCTTCTGATATTTCAAGCAAGGTAAACTATATTTTTCTAGTTTATTAACCCCTTTCTTTGTAAAAAGAAAAAGAGACTTTAATTTGAAACATATGCCTTCATCCTATTCCAACACCTCATGTTTATTAGCGAACGTCAAGGAAAAAGTCTACTGGGAGACCTTCACCTTCTCCAAGTAAGAAAGCTTGGGCTTGAGAACGTTTACAGTAACTGTAACAACACACACTCAGCTGCATCCTTATGGCATTTTCAGGGTCTCCATATCTCTCCAGCCTGAATATGAACTCCAGAAGAGCAGCAGTGGCAGCCTGGAGATTGCCAAGGCCCTCCTTAGGGGACACTAAAGGCAACACTTCAAGGGAGCATCACTCAGCTCACCTCACGTCCCTCAGCAACGGCCATGGTAGGCTCCATTTTAAAAACCCAGCTGAAGCTTCATCGAAAGTGCTTCTCTTCAGAAGAAAGTTTTTCTCAGAATAGTTGGAAGAAAATGTAGTGCAATCTGACAAAAGGCCCCCTCCAATTTCTTTTATTCTTTTAACTTTTGTTTTCTCTGTACTCTGAGGTGTGTCATACATGGTGAGTCTAGAGTCTGCTGACAGTCCACAGCTGCTAAAACAGAAATCAAGCTTAAAGAAACACCTTTCTGCATTTAATGGTAAGAGCATATTCATAAGTTTGAATATAAATGTTCAAACCTATGAATATTTTTGTAAAATTTTGTTAGGAAAGTAATAATAACAATATCAATTTTTTAAGTCAGTATTTTGCAATTGCAAACATTGCTTAGAGATTTTTTCTTTTTGATTCTATGCACCCATTTAATGTTTTGCAGGGTTTACTATAGGTGCTGGTGACTATCAGGATAAAGACAGCATGTATGATGAGATTATTCGCCTCAAAAAGGTAAAGGTCAATCAATCAAGTTTATTTGTATTGCACATTTCAGCGATGGAGTCAGAGAGGACACGAGAGCTAAAAATCAAAACACTGACAGTCATTACTGTGATCAAGTTCTTAATTATTAGGAAGTGAGCACAAGCTTTTACTGTTGCAAGTGTTTTAACGTGACATAGTGTTGGGCATTATTAAAAGGAAGATTTTCTTTTAAAAATATTAAACAAGGTTCTTAGTTTTGGTCATAGTGTTTGCATTTAAAATACATGAGGGGGAAACACTTTTTAAGCTTTTATGACACTGATGTTGTGTTGAACCACCACAGTTTGTTTAATGTGTGTCTTAAAGTTAGTTCCAGTTTTAGTCAGTTTTTCCTTGTCAGCCAAATTAATTAACATTTCTATTGATCAATTTTGTATTTTCTTTGACATATAAAGCATATTGTGTAATTTTGTAAATATTTTCATATATATAAATATATATTTATATATATATGAATATTTTTTAATGTAGTAGATTTATAAAGGAAAGTTAAAAACAAACAAAAAATTGTGCCCCCACCCCCATAAAGAAAAGAAAAAGCAGAAAATGTGGAATATTTCCTTAGAAACTTTTTTATCTACTTTGAATAACTAATTGAAAATACTGTACCTTTTGATAACTAGGAGCATTTGGAATATATGTTTGATTGAATTTTTCTGCTTTTCAATGATCTGTACCTAGTTTTTGTAACAATGGGTAGGTTGTTTTAGAATGCTCTGGATTTTATGTTGAACTTGCTGTGTGTTTTGTGGTCAGACTCTACAGGCTCAGAAGTCTGACAAC